AGGAAATTGTCCTTACTTGCATTGCTTAGAACCAGTTGAAGGGAGACGGAAGCTAGCACAGCCAGCTCTGTGCGTATCAGTACATGGAGATGAGTCCTGGTTTAAATAACGTGGAGGTAATGGTTCTGCATTCAAGGAGAGCTACCCATCCTGTGCTCCTATGTGCGTGTGGGCTCCTTGCGGACTTTGATGACCTTCCACAGCTGTCCACTGGGGCTGGGACTTAGATGTCAGCTAACTGCAATGTGATTTGTTGGCCTTGTCTTGAAGGTGTTGTGAGACTCCAGGGGCCTGTCCTGGGAGCTGCCTCCTCAGAGCTGAATGAAACACAGGGCTTGCAGCTGCTCCTCAGAGGGCATTTCCTCTTGCCACATGGGGCTGATTTGAGGTGCACAGCTGCGGGCCTTGGGCCTGGTATCCTGAGGACCAGGAGCCTAGCAGAGATCACTAGACTTTTGCACAAGCAACATGGCGTGGAACTTATTATGCTGGGCACAGACAGGCAGAGAGTGAGAAGGCCATCTGGCCCAACAAAGAGAAGTGTGTCCTTTTTATAGGGAGGGAGCTAAGGCAGGGGACCTAGGTGGTAAGACGTTAATTAACATTTATGTTCAAAGTTCTTGAAACATCTAGTGTAAATTTTTGGGTGTCTCCACGTGTCCTCAGGATCCCCTAAATCTTTGTCCTATCTTATCGCCTCCACCACATCCCATGCTGGTTGATGATGGCTTTGGTACTGAACTGGGTTCCCTGCAGAGAATAGTGCTTCTCTTGGCAAGCATCTTGGGGTCTGAGAGAGTTGGGTCCAATTCGAAACTTGTACTGCACTTGACAGCTGTGGGAACATCTGGCTCCTGGGAAACTGGGTGAAACTGCCTGAAGGTCTTCAGGACAGGACATCTTTTGGTTTCATAGTTATTGTCAATGACGTCAGTCACTTCTTGGTTGCAAACTATTAGGCAAGCAGGCCTCAGTTTCTACACCATAACCTGGGCTACAGAGGTGCTGGCCTCATGGGCGACTGTAGCAGGTAAACTTCAGGAGACCTCTGTAAAGAGGGGGTGTCATAATGTGAGTGTAAGATAGCGCTATAGGCAGCTGAGTTAGTTCAAAATCTTATAGGCAGTGAGATGGGACTGGGTCCTGGAGGGAGCCAGTGCAGAAGCCCAGATACCTTGCAAGTGTGGGGAAGACAGGCACCCTCTGCTGTGGGCCAGGTCTCAAGACAAAAGATCAAACAAATGCACCCATATCCTGAGGACTGATATTCTAAGGAGTTCCCTATCACCATGAGGAAACCAGGAGTCACCATCCCAACCCCCTACAGGAAGAATCACTGCTTCCTAAGAATGCCTGCTTTCTACATGACTCACTTCCCCATTTATCCCTGATTTAATCAGTTTTACCTGAACTATGATCTTATTGGCTAACCATAGTTCTGTCCCACTTTATGTCCGTCTGCCTAGTGAATTCCCAGTTTCCCCCAACTTGAACCCGTCTCACCCCATGATTTTACTCTATAAATGTTTCTAGAAAAGACAGTCTTTGGCAGCCCATTTGGGACCCTTTCTGTCTCTCTCTGACAGAAGCTTTCTTTCTCTCAATATTCTGCTTTTAACCTCTGTTGTTCCTAAAATTCATTCTTTGATTTTAGGCAACACAAACTCGTTCTGGAGTTTCATTGCCCTATGTCAATAGTAGGGATGATCCTTCGTCACTGGGGGTTTGTTACCCAGAAGGGATGTGAATGCCCACAAGAGCTGTCTGGTCTTTACCCTGTACCTGGCACAGGCCTAGCACCCTTACCAAGTCACCTTGAATGAGTAGACTCGAGGTGCAGGCAGAGCAGGAGACCTGGGCAGGCTGTGAGGCTGTGTGGGGGAGCCACACATATCTGGCACCTGAGGTCATGGAGCTTGAGGCCACAGATGGTACAATCACCTAGAAGGAGAAACCTTCCAAGGACCCAGCTTCAGGGATGGTGCAGAGGCCATCCTGTCCCGGCCTGAGAAGACACTGAACCTCAGAGGAGAAGGTGGTGTCTGGGAAAGTCCGAGCGGCCCTTGACGTAGGGAGCCATGGGGACATTAGAACTCCCATGGCAGGGCTGGAATTGGGGCCATGTGTGCCCCACTCACATGTTGGGTTTTATGGCAGATTTTAGCATCATCTTTAGGGGAGCTGGAGGTATAAAGCTGGAGTCTGCTTACAAGATGGGATAGGAGGCATATGTAAGAACTGTCCTCGAGATATCATTCAGTTGTGACACTGCCTGTGAGGGCTATTTTGGGCCTGCATGAAAACACATGGCAAGTGAAGCAGTGACTGATGAGGGGGATGCACCAGCAGGAGGGCTGGCGAGCTGGGGGTGGGGCAGAGTTTGGACAGCTGGAGCAGGTCGACCAGCAAGCCCCGTGAGCAGTGTGCTTGCTTCTGCTCAGCCTGCCTGTGCTGGGTCTTCCGGGCCTGGGGAAGAGGCTCACCTGTGGATGGGAGGAGCCCAGGTGTGGGCTTGTGAGGCTCAGACAGGAAAGGGCCTACAGGTCCTGAGAGAGAGCAGCAGGACCAACGATCCTCTGCAGAGGTGAGGGGAGTGACTGGTCTCAGGGGACTGGCCTTGGTCCTTTGGTACCCATGAGGAAGATTCTAGAATCTGACGTACTCATCATGGCCGTCTTGTGGTCCCTTCCAGCAGACGCACGAAGCACAGCACAGTGATAGTGTTGTTCACCTCCGCTTGCCACATCTGTCTGCCCCGTGGCCGTGAGCATCCCCTGCACAGCTCTGCAATGTATCCAAGGTCCTCGTAAGGATCAGAGGTGCTGGTCTGAAAGGCGCACAGCCTTCAACCTCACCAGGGAGCTGGGCCACTTCCCGGGGCCGGGCCCAGGTAGGTCACCTGCCAGATACCAGCTTCTCACCAACACGGCGGCCTTTTCCTTTTGCTCTGTGGGGAATGTTATTTCATCGTTGCTTCAGTGCATTTCCTGGATAGTATAAGCTGTGGCTCCTGCCCGTCCTGCCCCTTGCTCTGTCCCTGATGGCCCGTTCCCCATCACCCCTCATGTCTGCTGCAGTTGTGGGTGACTCCTGGCAGTCTCGTTCTTTGGTTGTCCTGATGATAAGAGCCCTCAACGAGGCTGAGACTCGTCCTCCTCCTGCCTGTGGCTGGAGATGTCTTCGTGTCTGTCCTTTAGGTCTGTCCAGCCCTTCCATTCACTCTCTGCCTGCCTGGCATGCTGGGAAGCTGGACCTTGGTTTCTAAATTCAACAACATCTGTCACTTATGGATGTTTTTTGTGATTCTTTCTAAAACCTCACCTGTCGATTTTGACAGTTTTATTTTCTTACTGCATGTTCTCAATTTTTCATTGCCTTAAGAATATTTTTAAAATCTTATCCTACTTAAACTTAACCTCCATCATCTTGAAGGGTCTGGCCTGCACTGTGCTTGCTCGGTAAGCTATGGTGTCTCCTGTGCGTGGTCATTTTGGGTCAAGACGTCACGTTTCCATGAAATTTACCTGAGGAAAAGTGTGTTTTCTGGAGATACCGGAATGGTGGCTGGGAACTCTGCCCCCTCAGTCCACATTCTGAGTGCCAGCATTCCAGCCACAGAGGCAGATTCCAGTGGCAAAGCTCTTGGACTTTCCTGTTCTATCTGGTGCTACAGCACTATAAAGAGGTGGCTTGGGATCCCCATTGACCGCTTGGGGTCCGTGCTATAGAAGGAAGGACCAAGTCAAACTCCCTCCTCAGGGGATAGGGTGTCCATACTACAAGGATCATCAGACCACCCCTGCCTCAGGACTGACCTTCCCTATCCCACTCATCTTTGTCCTGTTGGGGGACTTTCTATTTTCTTAACGATTCAGAAATATTTTAAAAGGTTTCTTAAATTTTAAAATATCCAGTAAGCCTACCTTTTGTCCTTCTTAGGACAAATACAGTCTGATTCCACTTACAGGAGGTTCCACAGGAGATGAATTCTTAGAGACAGAGAGCAGGAGGAGGGGTTAGGGACAGAGCTGCAGTGAGGGCCGGTCAAAGCTGCAAATTGTGTTAAGTATACTTTTCTGCAATTATTCTTTTCAGTTGGTATTTTTGGGCACCAGGAAGAACTTGCTGGTCATGTACCCTGGTGGCTGCATTGCTCAGCATTGCTTCCCTGCCATGCCTCTCCTGGCTCTCTGCAGGAGGGTAGCTATTGATGCTTCATGGACACCTTTTCAGGCTTTAGCTCCTCTGTCTCCAGCTCAAGCTAGGGAGGCCTCACAATATTAAGTGTTGGGATACGGGGACCTTGGAGTCCGTGCTGCCCTTCCTGGCTTTGCAGACCCTACATCATGCACTGGGCTGCATTTCCATGGTACAAGCGCTCTGACTTGCTCCCACCCTTCTGAGCTGACCCTTCTCACTCTGGACAGAGCAGGAATACCAGGAGCTCAGGGCTGCATCTGTAGAACCACACGCAGGATGTCAACTGTGACTCTCTCTGTGAGTGTGACCGGTCACTGGCACTGTTCCCACGAGGGGAGCCACTGTGGATTCACATTCCTACTATGCGTGTGTGGAGGACGAGCTGATTTTGGGCGGAGGCAGAGCAGGACAGGCTGACCACACAGGAGCCTGCCACTCGGTGACACTGAGAAGGAGCACATGCCAAAACCTGAGGAAATCCAGTTCCTCCGAGCTCCTCCTGGGGGCTTAGAGCATGTAAAGGAAGGAAACACCAAAAGGCTTTCTTAAAGTAGAAGCATTTTTTCCCCAGAGAACAATGGTGGTCACAGAATAACCCAGAATGTAATAAAAAATCATGCAGATTTCAAACTAAATGACCTCTGTGTCGGGTGCCACAAAGCTTCTTTAAGGATTGTCCTGCTAGTGTAAACACGTACATTACCACAGCCTGGAGGGCACAAGCAGGTGACATTTTCCAGACAGGGTTTGAAAGAATGTTAAGGCCACAAACAGTGTCTCATTCCTCCCCATGTGAACAGGGCTGAGGCAGAAACGCCTGGAGCAGAAATGAATCACAGTTTTCACGGTGGAGTGGCATCCAGTGACTGATCACTGACTGTGGAACTGTGTGAGGAATTGGCTGTTACAGGACCAGAACAAAGAATCAGCCAAAGGGAACTCCTCCTGGATGGCTGCTTTCATTTCCGGACCTCTCCTGTGCGGTGCTGCGGTGTATGATGGGACCTAACACAGCGCTCTGCACGGTCCGGGTCACCAGGAGGCTGCACTGTCCCTCACCTTCCTGCACTGAAGGTCGTGAGTCCGAGAGGCAGAAAGAGTCCACACATCCTGCCAGGGCTGTGAGTCTGCACCATCATTAAACAGAAGGTCATTAAGTGAGGAACACCTGCAATATTCCAAAGGGAAACATCCAGCAAATGCTCCTGATGTCCTTTGTGATGGTCCCTGATACAGGGTTTTGAGAGTGACTATTTCCTTTGTCTCTTTATAAAAGCCCTGCGGGGTCTGAAGTTGTCCTGCACCCCATGAACAGGCAGAGCTGCTGGTGCAGAAAGCAGTTACACCCTGAGCCCAGGCTCCTCCACTTACCCCTGCCGGCCCCTCTCTCCCCCTGCATGGAGTGACTCCTGCTTGCCGCCCTGGCTCTACTAGTTTCCTGGTCTGTGTGTTACACCTGCAGTGAGCTCTCTCCTGAGACACACATGAGGTGTCAGGAGAATCTCAGTGGAGCCACACTCACTGTTCTCAGGATAATATAACCTAACACACACTTAAAAGTAAATTCTACTGATTTCCATCCTAAAACAAAGTGGTGGTGCATGCATGGAATCCTAGCACTCAGCATTCAGGAGGCTGAGGCAGGAAGACTGCTACACGTTGGAGGCCAGCTTGGGCTGCAAAGTGAGGTCAAGGCCAACCTGAACTGCATAGTGAGACCCTGTCTTAAAAAGACAAAAAAAAAAAAAAAAAAAAACATAAAATAAAATATGAATATATTTACATGAAATTTAGAGACTTCCACAGGTTCCTGGAGTGGGTCCTATGTTGAGACTTTCCTGAACTTTTTGAACTATTTCTACCAGGAACGGCACTCTGAAGACTATCCTTATAAAGAGGATAGTCTTCACATTTAGGATTCTTTCTCAGATGACAGTCTTCTTGTGGACTTAAAAAATAATCATCAAAGATAGGACTTAAGATGTACCTTTATCACTTGACTCAAAGTACTGAGTGTTGATAGAAAGCCTGAGTTGTTGTAAAGAGAGAAGCAAGGACTCACCTGGGGTGAGGGTGACCCCGGGGGTCTGCGGTGTATGAGGGTGACACACACCCTCCATGGGCCAATCCTGCTGGGCCCTGGCACCTAGGAGAAAGTCCCTGGTAGGTGATCTGCAGGGAGAACAGGACAACGCGCCTAGGACTCAGCCACCCCGTCCAGCCTGACTCCCCACGCCAGAGTGCACAGAAACTGCGCCGCCAGCTCAGCCAGAAACGCCCTGCGTGGATTTGGACCCTGCTGGCGGCTGAGGCTCGCTGCAGCTTGCTGACATTCGGTGGGACCCGGCGCCCCCTTGTGGGTATGCATGAGGTTGCAGAGCTTTGGTCAGTGGTTGTGGAGGAAAATGAATTCTCAAAATAGACCAGGAGAATCCCATTTTCCTTATGGAAATTAGAGTGGAAACTCCTCGCCCTCTGCGCACTATTACAAACTGTGAACGTTCTCATGGATGCTCTCGTTTCAGATCGGTCTTGGCCCTACACCATGGCAGGTGTAAGAGGAGGCTTTGTGGACTCACTCACTCAGGAAAGTAGCTTTCCCTTGCCCTGGCCTCTCTTAGAAGAATTCGCCCCTCCCTTCCTCCTCTTCCTTCCCACAGGACTAGGCTCTGGTGCCCCAGGGTGCACATAACAAGATCTGTAAGCCCCAGCCTGCCCTCTTCTTCGCTGTGGCATGAGGGTGGACCTGGCCTGCTCTCCAGGGACCTGAGACCAGTTAGCCTGGGTGACACAGCTCTCAGCTAGTGGTCCCTGGCATGTCCTTCCTCCACCTTGAGCTCTGTGGTAAGCTAGTGGTCCCTGGCATGTCCTTCCTCCACATCGAGCTCTGTGGTAAACTCATCTCCTGGGGCCGTTCCACAGCAGCCTCTCCCTGTCATTCCATGCTGCGGTTCATTATGCACATAGTTGCTTGTTTCCAAACTGCTGTCCTGTCTGTGTGTGCTCCAGGCAGAAGGGTCTGGTCTGCATCCACAGGCTGCCCACCTTGTAGGAGGCCATCTGTCATAAAGGGTTCCTGCCATCCCACCTTGGGGACCCAGGCTGCTCCTGTCACAGGATGGTAAGATTTCTTTATGTGAACTACAATTCTTACTGGAGCACAAGCTCTGTGCCTCCTTGGGGCATCTTCTCCGAGGAGGGATGCTTCAGGCAGGAGGAAGGTGGACCCCCAGCCAGGCTTCAGTGCTGCCTTCCAGCCCTGCCCCTCCCCAGTGCTCACTATAGGATCCATTTGCATCTGTGGGTAATGGCCAGGACCAAGAGGAGGACCAGGCTGTGAACAGCCCATTGTGGTCAGCCTCAAACATGATACCAGCTTCCCAAAACACAGGCTGTGATGCTGCACCTTAAGTATGAGGGAGGCCAGTTCCTCAGCTTCTTGTCTACTGCCTGCCTGCCTTCCTTCCGAGATCCTTTGGTTTCTTTCATTATACTGAGGTAGAGATAGGCTATTTATGGGGAGGCAATAAGCATGAGGTAAAGATAATGTTGGCTGAATACTGGCCCTGAATTAATCCACCTCTTCTTACTACCAACTATACCTGTATTGGAGTGCAGAAAACTTACTGGACTTGCTAACTAGCATGCTTCTCTGGCAGTCAGCGAGTTACTGAGCACGCACTTTGGGATGAATGGTGCATCCAGGAGTTGAAAACCCAGAGCAGCTACAGTGGCCTAGCACAGCTGGTGCAGGAGCTGCCTGTGGAGGAGACTGGTCCTCCTTCCTCACATCAAGCTCTGTGGCAAACGCATCTCCTGGGCTGTTCTGCAGCAGCCTCTCCCAGTCATTCCATACTGCGGTTCATTATGCACATAGCTGCTTGTTTCTAAACTGCTGTCCTGTCTGTGTGTGCCCCAGGCAGAAGGGCCTGGTCTGCATTCACAGGCTGCCCACCTTGTAGGAGGCCATCTGTCATAAAGGGTTCCTGCCATCCCACCTTGGGGACCCAGGCTGCTCCTGGCACAGGATGGTGAGATTTCTCTATGTGAACTACAATTCCTGCTGGAGCACAGGCTCGGCACTGCTGAGGATCCTAGTGCTTCTGGGAGTCTGAGGTTCTCTGCAGAGCATTTAGGTTTGAATTACAGCAATTTCAATCTTTGTGTATAAGGCTGGGCTTTATTAAATTTTATATCACACACTTCCAAAGTTGTATCTTGGAAAATTGCACAAACCTGACTCCACTGCCAGACTAGAGGCATAATGCTCGTTCAGGGAGGCACAGATTATTCTATGTTTGTAGTGCAGACGGTCTCGGTGCGTGCATCATTTCAGAAGAGTCACTTTTGATCTGCTATGGCTTTTATCTGGATGACCTTCCAAAGCCTCACGCACCCACAGCTTCTGGAATAACTGGGTCCTGGGTGGGTGAAACTGGGTTACTTCCCTGACTGGTGTAGCAGACCCACAATGGGTGTGAGTGGCACCAACCAAAAGGCTTTCAGCCAGGATGCAACAGTCTCTGTTCCATCTGGGAAGGAGGAGGATGTCCCGCCTGCTGCTCTCTGAGCTCTTTCTCCTCTGTGATGTGCATCTGCCATCCCACCCTCCCCTGGAGCCAGAGGAGTGCGACTGAAACCTCTACAAACTGTGAGTTAGAAGCAACCATTTGCCCTTTAACTTGTGGCATTGGGTATTTTGTCCAAGCAGTGATAAAGGAGCTAAGTCTGCACCCTAGTGGAGGCTAGCTTCACTCTAGGGATCCTGTAGCATGGAGGAAGGCGAAACCAGAGGCTTCCCATCCAGACTTATGGCCCCGTTGGCTCCAGTCAGGTGATGTCTGCTGAGGTGGTTGGGATACAGGATGGAAAAGTGGCTTTTCATCAGGAGAGCATGGGCAAGGGCTTTGAGTTCCCACAGTCTTCATTCTACACATGTGACACCTGCCGTGATGTTGGAGCAAGGTCATTATCTGGCAATTTAGTGCCCTAATCAGAGCCCAGCCTTTTACTCTGAAGGAGAAAAGCACCAGCATTCAAGTGGATTAGCTTTTTACTATAGCTAATAAGTATAGTCTGGTAATGTCAGACAGATGCCCCCCTTTTAACAGAACAACCTAGTTATTGTTACTACTATTCAGTGGCTTCTAAGGTCTAGCTGACAAACCCCACATTCTCAGTGGAACTGATGGTCTCATGATGTTGGTTGTCTAGTGAATGGTGTCTCAAGTACAGGAAATGTGTGGACGCTGCATGGTGGGGTGCTCAGTCCTGTGCGTTCAGTAAACTCCAATTTGCACCAGCCGATGTCTTTAACATAAGCTGGCTGGTGACCAGGACCTTCTTCCTTTGTGAACTGCCAGTGACCCTCCTCTTGCTAAGGTGCTGAGGTTTCAGCAGCTGGGGATGGTGTGTGGCTGGGTGCCTATGTTTTAAAATACCTGTTGTATAAATTCATACAGGGAATTTTCAGGTACCTGTCATTCCACAGGTGCCTGGGGACTTTGTGTGAGTGAACAGGGCACTCTTGTCCCTGGCATCTCCACAGGAGGTCTGTATGTGAGAGACCCTCTGAGTGCACTCACGTCCTGACGGGGGCACCTTGTTGGTAGCCACCCCATCACTGGAAAGGAGGAACTCTTACTGTGACCTGGGAGAACTCTCCAGAACAGAGGCCCTGAGGATTAAGAAAACAGTGATAAGCCTTTTAAAATCAGGTCATGTCTTAGAGCTGAGCACCTGGACAGCAGCACCTGGACCAACGGGACCCTGGGGAGGTCACTGGGGGACGTCTCATTTTCCCTGTCTGACCAGGAATACAGGAAAAGGGAAGGGAACCCAGAAACTAAGCCTTTGGGGGGATAGGATATGATGAACTCTCTAAAACTGCATTTAGGTTTCAGATAATCACAAATTTACAGAAGAGTTGTACAGCACAAGGACCTTTGTTTTGCATTTTTAGAAGAATGAACAGAGTAAGTGGCAGGCTCGTTCTGTAATCTGCAGACTTCAGCTTGCATCTCCAGGACATACTCTTGTGACTGTAACATCCAGACCTGGAAAGCCCAGGAGGCCCCGTGGATCTGTCATTGTCCCTAGTCCCTGCCAGTCGCTCTGCAGGTTGCTCTCCACTGAGCCGGCCCCGGTGCTCCTTGGAGCTCACATGCAGGTTACAGGCAGCAGCTGTGCTGTCTTCGCCTCTCATCAGGGGCCACCAGTCCGTGTCCCCTTGTACTCACATCCCTTTCGGAGACTTGGTTTGAGTGATTAGCCAGGCTTTTCTGTGATGAGGGATTCTCTCCGAATAAAGAATAAAAGTCATCTCAGTAGGTGTGGCACAAGCATTTGAAGAACTTGGCATCTGTTCCATAAAGCTGCAGGCAAATTGGATGCAGACAAACAGGGTGAATACCAGGCATGGGTGCAGACAGGGTGTAGACAGGGGGGCTGACGCTAACATCACAGCGATGTGGAGAGGCCCCTGCTGGCCCGAGGTCTAGGATGCGACCAAGCACTCGGCACTGCTGCTCCTTGTTCTGACGCAGTTTTAGCTACTGCAACAGGCAAGAAAACAATAAAGACTTATATCTATTTATACCATTTTATCTGTGTCATTTATTTATAAATCGATCCAGATAGGAAGAGGCAAGCTATTTTATTTACAGGGAAGAAAAGGCAGTGGAATCTTTATAGCAACTACTAGAATGAGTAAGCTTAGCACATTGTGGATACGAGATAAATATCCAAAAATACAGTGCAATTCTGTAAACTAGTAACCAGTACCAAGAAATTGAAACAAAAACCCCTGCAATTCCAGTTATAGTAAAGATATTCAGTAGTTAAGGATAACCATGACCCATGAGAACTAGGGCACTCCACTGAAAAGTAGACACAGTCCTAGGTGAACAGAGAGATAGATGCCTTATCCCTGGCTGAAAAGCTTAAAGTTGTTCTGATGTGAATTTGCAATAAGCGGACATAGTTTTGGTGTAATTACAAGCAAAATCCCACCGATATTTTGTAGTAGATATTGACAAGTCAGTCCAGGACTTTGAAAAAAGACTGAAAATTTGGGAGACTGTCCAATTTCAGGATTCATTGGAATGATATAGAAATCTTGATACTGTATTAGTAGACAAATCAATCAATAGGAGGTCAGAGTCTAAAAATTTCCATGCCTGGGTCGACACTAGATGTACAAACAGTGTTAAAGGAATTTCAGGGAAACAAAGGTAATCACTTCAACCCATGATGCTGAAGCAAACGCCAACACTGCTCCTACCTTATGAGATGAACTGTAATTAACTAAAAAGAGATTATAACTCAAGTAGAAAATCTAAAAATACTAGATTAGAGGAAAACAGGAGTAAATTTCTATGACCTTGGGTTAAGCAAAGACTTCCCAACCTATGAAAACAAGCAAAAGGGAACAAAAAGCATATCCTCTCCAAAACATGAGTACGCTGGACTTTCTCACGAGTGACCACTTCAGCCCTTGAAAGATCTGTTTTGTTTTTGTTTTTGCATTTTCACAGGATGCCAAATGGAGTCTTTTATTTTAGCAGGCCCTGTGCTGCAGCCCCCTAAACCAAAACCCCAGAAAGGGCTGGGGAGTGCTGCAGGTCTGGTTCAGTGAGGGGCGTGGCTGAGAGCTTGCTAGGGTGTTGAGAGTGCAAATAAAAAGCCCAGATCCCTCCCTCCCCAATGAAAAGGGGATTTACAAAGTGGGAGAAAAAATTGCAAATCCCATATCTGCCAGTAGATTTGCATCTCACGAGAACATAAAAAAAGAGAAAAATCTCAAAACTTAATAATAAAACAAGGGATCCAATAGGAGAAAAGGCAAAATCTCAACAGGATTTTTTTTCTAAAGCAGATGAATGGGTAGCAAAGAAACACATAAAAAGATTCTCAACATTGCTAACCATCAGGGGAACACAAGTTAAAACCACAATGAGTTATTGTTACCTGCGATTACAGCCTGCACTATAAGGTGCAGGCGAGGATGGGGACCACCCAGAGCTCTCACCTCTGGCTGGTGAGCAGGCCAAAGGGCCACTGCAGAAGATGTGCTGGCATTTTCTGCAAGGTGCATATGAACCTGCTACACAACTCAGCCATCTGCTCCTGAGTATCTACCTAGAGTAAAGAATGCAGACGTTTTCTCAGTGTCCGGCCAGTGGTGTCCATCACTGGCCTATCTGTAAGATCTGGAAACTGGAAACAACCCAGATGCCCATCGGTTGGTGAAAGGGTAAAATATAAAGTGAAGTTGATTGACCAAGTGGGTCACTATATAGTAAAGAAAAAGGCATGCACCTTCAAATCATGAAACACTGTGAGTGCATTTTAACTACTGATGCTGAATGGAGAAGCCAGCCAGAATAGGGTGCCTGCTATAGGATTCCATTCTTATAAAATGCAGGAAAAGGGAGAGAACTCTCTGTGATGGGTGCAGATGGGCATACATCAGGGTGGAGCTGGAATCCGTAATGGGGTGGGATCCTGGGAGGTGGGATCAGGTTCGAGGAACGCTGGATCAGGACCTGGCAAGTTATCTAGGACCTGGCAAGTTATTTAAAGTCCCTTGTCTTTCTTCTGGGGCTCTTTCCCTGCTTTCTGCTTCCTAGGGGCCATCAGTTGAGCAGCTTCCCATGGGCGTGCCCTTCTGCTGTGTTGTCTGCCTGGGAACCAGCAGAGCACAGACTGAGGCCTCTGAAGTCAGGAGCCAAAGTAAATCTCTTCTCCTCTCAGTTTGCCTGTCTCCTGCTCTGTCACATCAGTGAAAGTCCAATGCAGGGGAAGAAGGGGGTTCAACGAGCCTGGGACCTTCACATGTTTTCAAACGCTTTATTGCTTCAGACACACTATCAGTGCATTTCCAAACACACATTAAAAGACATTCTTTAAGACCCATGGAGAACCACCCCCTTTCACAGGGTGAAGAAGTGTAGAGAGATTTTTCCATTAATAAAGTTGATGGTTCAAATTTTAGCCAATACTGGAAATAAGACCCAGGTGTTAGTGATGACAAGATCGACACTTCTTGGAACACGCTTTTATTTATAGAATAAAAACATGATTTTTGGTCTCGCATGATTTTGGCATGTGAGGCTGGTCTTTGTTTAGCGTATCTTCCGGTGCTGAAATGATCGGGCTCCCACGGGAGAATCCCTGCAGTCCTGGGCAGGTCCACGTGTCAGTGGGCAGGCTTGGCCCTGGAGACAGAGTGTGCCAGGCACCGAGGAGCTGCCGGGACAAACAGCCCTGCAGGGCACAGGGAGAGGGGCAGTGCTTTTGCTGCATGGTTGAATCACACTGTGCAGAAATGCTTTTCCAGCAAAGGAATCAAGAGTGAGGTAAAATATTATCATTCGAACAAAGATGTTTATTCAGCACTGAAAATGTTAGAACAGTTGGAAATGCACGAATACCCTCCCGCATGTAAAGCAGGGTGTCTAATTAGAAACAATTGATTGCAAAGAAATAAAGCAGGAGAAAATGTAATGACCTTTGAGACTCTGCCAAGAACGTGGTCCTGGGAAGTGTATCTGAAAGGTGACCCTGAGAGCTTCTCTTCTCTTCCCTCCCCTCCCCTCCCCTCCCCTCCCCTCCCCTCCCCTCCCCTCCCCTCCCCTCCCCACCCCTCCCCTTCTCTCCCCACCCCTCCCCTCCCCTCCCCTCCCCTCCCCTCCCCGCCCCGCCCCGCCCTCCCCCGCCCTGCTCTGCCCTTCCCTGCCCTTCTTTTCTCTTCTAAGGTTAGGAGAGTTTTTATTGGAAAGAAGAAGGGCAGAAGCCTCCTAGATTTCTGGGAGGAGCCCCAAGCAGGCAGTCACATGGGGCCTCCATCCAGGGTTAGAGATAAGCGGGGCACAGGAATGGCTCAGCCGCTTAGTGGTCACCTGTGTGGACTGAAGACGACCCACTGGAACTCAGGCTTTGTAACTCACTTCTTCAACACGTAGAGTTTACATGAGTTTTCAGAGAAAAAACTGGTTATTTTGCATTTCTAATTCCTCAAAATTCCAGAGCTTAGCAGGGAGCTCTGGACTTCCCTTTAGGTGGGAGGGGACCACTTACCCCACTTGCTGAGGAAATTCATTGTATTTAAGTTCCCTGTGAGGTATTCTTAGGAGGTGGCCGAGGCAGTGGTTCTCAGAGGTGGCTCTGGGAGTGGAACCCTGGATGAGTTCCTAGGGGGTGACCTCTGGAGGTGGGCCTGGGCTCTGCATGTGGGGCGTAGGTGGACCCAGAGAGCAGGGCCTGCAGAAGCATCTCTGTGAACCACACTGATGCTCCAGCATCCACAGAAGCTGGGCAGTGGCCCACAGACTGCCTGCTGACCCAAGTGCTATGGAGAAATTACTCTAACTTGGGTAGTGTCCCCTGTTAGGTAGTCCAGAGCCTGGGGAATGCCTTCGAGATGGGAGCTCTGGGCCAAGACAATGACAACTTCACTGAAGGACAGGAAAGGGCAGTGTGTCCAGGAGTTTTTTTGGTAGCTTTTCCTTCTTCTGGTGTCAGTAGAGACAAAGAAGTGCACTCAGTACTGGGGGCCGGGCCAGTGAGACTCTCTTTGAGGAACAATGCAGTGTGTAGCAATGTGGTCAGGTCAGGACCTGGAGGACAGCAGGACAGGGGTGGCCCAGGATGTGTGGCCAAGGAAGGGGTGGGTGGGAGACAGCCACCATGAGCTCTCACTTGGGGAATTTCATTTTGTTGTGCTTCAGCCTCTGTTGTGAGAAAGTTTCCACGCCAAACAGAAAGGAAGGCTCTGCGCTGAGGAGAGAGGAAGACGGTATTTAATCTTTACACCAGCAGACTGTTGGGTCTTCAGGCCAGTGGACTGCTGTGGGATAATTCTTCAATGGTGACAGTGCTGAATTTACAGCGAGCTTAGTTTATAGAAGTGGGAGGTACAAAGCAAGTGACAAAACATTACATAATTGATTACGTGCCTTGAACTGATTACGTGCATTTGGCCTTTTGAGACAGAGTCTCACTGTGAAGTTCAGGCTGACCTTGAGCTCACTTTGTAGCCCAGGATGGCCTTGAACTTACAAGGATCTTCCTGTCTCGGCCTCCCGAGTGCTGGGATTTAGGGTGAGCCACCATACTGGGCTCTCACATCTAACTCACATATGACAGGCAGACTACTCTTGAACAGATTTGCTGAAACAAAGGAATTGTTTATCATAATATAGAAACATTCCAGGAACAATGGGAGGGGGTCCTTACAGAGTGAGCATAGCTAACAGCATTACCATAATATAGCAGCACTCTGGGGAGGGTCCCTTGAATTAGCCCAGGGTGCCTTAAGCACAGACAGTTACTCTGACTTGTGCTCATAAGGTGTGCAGCCTGGGCTTCACACATTGTCAAGGTCAAGTGAATTCAGCAGAAACAGCAACACAGAGACTTCTAATTGATTATGAACTATGTATAAATTTGTTAGTTTAGAGATGTGTTCTTACATTGTAATTGTGCCCCAGCCCTGTGAAGTTTAGGAGTCTCGAAATCCAGGTGAGTTGCACTGAGGGGTTAAAAGCACAGAGCTTGGGCTCCAGAACACCTCTTGCAACAACCATGCTTCTGCCCCA